AGCTGGGAAGTCAGGACGTCCACCATGAAACAAGATTCCTCTTTCTACTTCAGTACTCTGGTAGTTGGTTGAGGGTGGAAGACAATAAACTGCATGTCCCCCAGAGCCAAGGCGATGGCTTCCGCAAAGCATCTGGCCTCGAATCCAGATGTTGAGTTCCATTTCTCCCACCAAACTGTAGCAAGCTTCAGAGAGAGCCCATTGGGAGGGTCAGGATGTTCTCGGTTGTTCTAATAGGATTCCTTTTCTATCCTAGAAATGTGAACTTGCTTAAAACTGTATCGTACGTACACTGTAAGGACCCCCCCAAATTACTGATGTGACCAGTTGGAACCCTGTCATTTGTTGTAGAGGGCAGAGGTACCAGAAGCCAAAAGGCTCACGACGCCCAGACTGCCTGATCGTGAACACTCATTACATCATCTTAGTTCACTCTTCTCTTTTTGGAAAAATGGTGATGCATTCCACCAAAACTCACAATTCATGCCCAGCAGTGGTGGCGCACACCTTTAATCCCAGAACTCAGGAGACAGAGGCAGGCGGATCTCTGTGAATTCCAGTCCAGCCTGGTCTATAGAGGGAGTTTCAGTATAGCCAAGGCTGCACAGAGAAACCCTGTCTTGAAAAACAAAAACAAAACCCAAACCAACAAAATCAAAAAAACAAACAAAAAAAGTAATTCATTCATGTATCGTGTGTTCCAAGTCAGACTTAAGTCAATTTAGTCATCGACCATGATGATAATATAAAATTAGATTCTTGCAGAAGCATTAAATTTCAAATAAATATTGTATTAAAGCTTGGTACGGCATCAATAATAAGAAACTGCTACCGCTGGAAAACCTGTGTTTGTTCCCAGGTAAATACTTTGCGTTTCAAGTCCATGCATGACAGATACGCACCTCTGCCACTCCGACCGACAAACCTGAGGTCGTTGAATCTTGCCACCTGGTTCTTCATGGCCGCCGTAGCATTTCTCAGCTCCGCCGAATAGTTTTCATCATTGCCTGCCATCACCGTGACCAGAGTGCCGTCCGGAACGTCCCCCAGCGCTACCACCTAGACATCAGTCAGGGGACAAATGCAGGCATCAGAGCCGTCATGGGTACCCGCGCGCGGCAACTGTTCTAAAATTAAACATACGCTTAACGATACTTTGCTGGTGTTTAGGAGAATCGTCATAACTTGAGCATCCCAACGGAAAGGCGTGCAGTTGGTTAATTGCATCATGCATAGACGGATACAGAGTTTTCTAACGAGGAAGGCACTGGTGAGGTTCAAGGAACAAAGCCACATAAAGTCACACAACATGGTGGGAACAAGACAAAAGGGGACAGGAGCGATGGCCTCTCCTCCGTGTAGTCATCCCTTAAGACCTCACGTTTGAAAGGCAGGAGATCTTATGCTCGTAGGTTCATAGCCTAATCCACCTTTAAGAAAAGATTTATTGTACTATTTTGAATGAAGTACACGTGCGTGTATGTGTGTATGAGTGCCACCAGGGGCCGGAGGCGTGGGAACACCCTGGAACTGGAATTGTGGGCAGATGTGAGCCACCTGACCTAGGTGCTGGGAATCAGGACTGACCCTGCAATTCTATCATCTGTTCTCAACTCCTGAGCCGCCTCTCCAAGCCCATCTTTTGCTTGTTTGGGCCTCCACTGCTGCTCCTGACAGGGCCTGGACTTGGCAACTTAAACGTAGTTCTGTTCAATTGAAATACGACTTTTGCTATTGACTTTTTTTTCAGACAAGGTCTCACATAGCCCAGGGTAGCCTCAAGCTCCTGTCTAACAGATGACTTTGAACTCCTGATCTTGCTGTCCCCACCCTGCAGGGGTGCTGGGGTACAGGTATGTGTGCCACCACAGGCACAGCTTCCAATGACCCTGGAAGGACTCAAACTGCCCGTTTGTAGCTTGTCTCCGACATCTCCTTATGCCTCTATTGGATTCTCACTAGCAGCGAACTCTGGCATGCCAGGAGAAAAAACCAGAAATGTGCTAGTTATTTATTATTAATTACAAAAGGGGGTTCCAATTTAATCATTCTCCTCAAACCTAAGGTGAAACCAGGCTGCATCTTCACATCTGTGGGCCCCAAACATACATTAGCTGTGTTCTAAGGGATTCCTCTATTGTCATTGAGAAGGTAAGCGCTCATTATATTTTGAGGACAACTGGTAGATAAACATATTTCATATCCAGAAAACTAAAAAAGCAGTAATTTTAAAATAAAATTCTCTTGCCTTGAAAATGCTTCACAAAGTATTACCCATCAGCTGGCTGCTATTTGGTTCTTTTTATTTTGTTTTAGAGCTAGGGTCTCACTAGACAGCCTAGAATAGCCTTGAACTCACATGGGCATACACCGTCAAGCCTGGCATCCTTCGACTTCAGCAGTGATTTTTGAGTTTTGATTTCATTACGGCTTAACCTTTGCTTTGTTCCAGTCGCAAAGTAGTCATGGAATTCAAACCCAAATGCCTCAAGATCAGTTTTGTTTTCCCCAATCATTTCTGATATAACATTGTCAGTCTGCGGTGAATTTTTATTGTTGTTGTTATTTATGGTGATCAATAACAAGTCGCTAGCAGCAAGCATCTCTCCATACACTGTTATTTAGGTTTTCATTTTTTTTGCATACTAGTTGCTGCGTAATTTGTGGAGGAACATTTCTCTGTCTGCATGTATGCAGATGAGGATGCCACAGGTTCGCTAATCTGATATCAATACCCAGTCCCTGTGATTGCCATCCTGGCGGTGTGCTTAGTCATGTCCCCCTCGGCCGTCCGCTGTCCTGCAGATGACTATCTGGCTGCGTTTTATTCACTGTGGCTGCTCCATCTCCTGGGTTCTAAAGAGCAGGCCAGGAAATGACCCAGCTGCCCTGACAAGTGGACAGAAGGGACCCCAGGACATCACCGGGACGCACTGCTCTGGGTCCTGGGTGAGCATCCTGCTAGCTCTTTACTTTTATCTGTTTTAACCAACTTGATTGCTGAGCCAAGGACAGAGCCTCCTGCCTCTGTTTTTAACCCTTTCATTCCCATTGTTGGGCATGTTTTCTACAAAGGAGATTTTTAGAACCCTTATTCTGTAAGCAGTCTGTAATTAGAAGTTTATATCGCACCACAAGTGTTTGATGGCCTTTAATTAAGATCCGTAATATGACAACTCTTTTGTTTCAAAGGACATCATTGCAATAAATCTCCCCGATGAGTTAATTGATCATTACTAACCCTTCTTTCTACTCCTACAAAATTCTACTCCCATAAATTCTGCTGTTTTTAGTCTCTTTATTCCCCCCCCCATTTCTTTGTTTTTTCCACTTCCCCCTGTACCATTAGCTCACAGTGTTGAAATGCCCCCCATGAAAACACTTTACTTCCCCCCCCGCCCCACTGTGGAGATCTAGGCTTTTCTAGTTCAACACAACGCTGAGCATCCAGGGCCTTGGATCTACAGCTGGGCTTCCAAACTGAATGCCTTGCTGTTGGGGCTGGTATCTCCTAAGAGGTTAAAATAAACACAGCCTTCTCCGTGAGTCCCCAAAGACATGCCGAGTCATGGTCCTCCTCCCACAGTGTCTCTGTGTGCCTCGGTTTACCACTATTGCTCCAGTGCTACCTCTTTAGTTGGGGGGCGCCCAGGAGGCCCCTCCAGACTGATGCGGACTTTGTGAAAGGGCCATGGTGCCTACCTACGCAAAGGCTGCCCACGCTGGACTTCAAAGGGCTAAAAATTAGCACTTGACATTTCATCACTCCCATTTTTAAAGGAAGGGGAGTAGGGTGGGGGGGAGCTCAGTTATCATTTCTAAAGCTTTCTGGTTTATCTCCCAAGAATTTTGGTGGGGAAGCTAAGGAGAAAAATTAAATTCAGGGACATTTAACAGTGTATTTCATCCATCCAATGACAAGCATACTTAGGCTAGGTTAATTTTTTTTTCTGATTTAAAACTAAGATGTCTTCCAATATGATACCGCTTTTGTTATTGAGAGGTGATATAAAAAGAATGAGAAAAAAATCTGACTTCAAACAGAAATAAAAAGCAGTGTCTGCAATAAAAAGCTATAAACAATAGGTAAGGAAAGACAAACATTTACATTTAACACAGACCAAACAGACAAGAAGGGACTTGCTGGCCAAAGATAGCTCATATTTTGTTGAACTTCTCTGTTCTCCAAGTATCAGGAAGTTGGGCAAAATATCAGCTCTCTTCTGTGCTGTAAGGACTTCCCAGTACTGCTCTTGGCTAGCCTGTTCTGAAACTGGCATTTTCCAACAATTTTACAGGCTGAAACTACAGTTAAAATTCATTTACTGCAAATTTCTTAATCTTCCACAGTTCCAAGGAAGGCTGTGGAATGAAAGACAGCATTCACCTGAGATGGCATTCAAAGCATAGCTAGGGACCACGTTCTTCACGCCAGAAACATTATTTGTTTCTATTTTTATGAAAAACATATTCCATCTGCACCCAAGGTCTTTGAACTCCCTGTTGAAGGCACGTTTACGCTCTGTGTACTAGGGCCTAAACAAACTGTACGGTTACACTGTTACTAAATCTGGGACAAGTCACCTAAACAACTTTGTTGTCTGCTTCTGCCAACACTGCCTAACATGTAGCAGAGTTCACAATTCTCATCTGTGAAACTTATGTTTCTCCTACAGATAAACGGTCTGTAGGAGGAAAGAGAGAAGAGGATAGATATGTCGGAGAACCAATTACGATAATTGAGATCTATTTTCAAGAGAGTTTGTCAATTTAAATAATCTCTTGATAATTCTGAAGATTAAAGCGGAGGACTTAGCAAAATTCCAGAAGATTCTGAAAGCTGCTCTTCCCTAATGATGAGACTCCAGCATCGCTACATGTAATCTGGTTTTTATCATGGGGAATAAGCTAATTCCTGCAGGATTAATCTTCTAAAGAGATTCCTGAGCTTTAATTCAAATCTAAAGCATAGGGTAACATTCTTGGTAGGAACTGTACAGACAAGGACCAGGAATCCAGAGAAAAATGAAGCTAGGATGCTGGTCTGTTTTGCAGAGCAGCTTCCTCTTAAACCCAACATTTAAAGCTCCTGTCCCCCTGAAAATTCTGTTTACTGTCTCAGTTCAGCAGGGTGCTGAGCTCTGGAAGTGGCCTCTCTCTGTGGGACCCAAGCGGTGACAGATAGTAATCCAGTGGTCTGATTTCTCTGCTACCCTGTCCTTTCCCCCCCCAAGCATTCCCGAGAGACTCACTTGAACCTTTCACACGTGCTGTATACACCTTAAGGGACCTTTGTCATAGCTACCAGCTGTCACTCAGGACAGCAAACTGAGATTCTTTTAGAAGTAGGTTTTCCGAAATCATTTATAAAAGGGAACCTCTATGGCTGTGATTATTTTTGCTAAAAGGAATTTTCCAAGGTTCGTACGAGCAGTATGTGTGATCTTTCATTCTTTTAAAAGAAAACAAACATTTCCATGTGGTAGTTCAAGACTTTGCCTCGCTTCAGCTCCTGGAGACAATTTTTAAAAATCAATCATTTAGTGTCTTGATAAACTGGACTTCCTACACGGTAAAAAAAAAAAAAAAAAGCAGCCCAGAAAATACCTCCAGTTCTCCCCCAAGGAAAGCATATGTCCCTTTAGTTCTGCTCCACAGGGGAACCAACCTTAAATGTTCCTTTTGTTGACTACAAAAAGTCTGATTTCTCTCTGACAGCGACCTAGGGTTCCCTCTCGGGGTGAGGAGAACACACCACCAGCACCAGCTAACTGTTTTCCTGAAGGAATTGGGATGGCTTTCCAAATAACAGCAAGGGAGGGGGAAGCCAAGTTCCTGCCTGCCCTCTGACCATCAATCCCAACACCTACCCCTTAAAAAGTTGCTTCCAGAAACTGGTGAAGGGGGCAATTCTGTATAGAGACACAGTCGATAGGAAATCCTACTTCCGTGCTTTTTAAAATATGGACGGCCTTTTTTTAGCATAAAAAGAAAAAGAACCCGGACAACACTTTTCAAAAAGTGAACGTTGTTCGTTGTAATTAGATCAAGGTCCAGCTGAGGCCTGGAACTACGAAAAGCTTAAATCAAATTAAGCTCCCTCCTAAAGAAGACAATTATTCATCTAAATCAGAACAAAAACAAAAACAACAAGACGCAGCTTGGCTTTGCAGCTTGGATCTAACTCCTCCATCAGTCTTTTAAAAAGAACAGGACCTGGCAGAGCCACAGGGCGCGTTTTCAGCTGTACCTTTTAAAACCCACCACCGAAGAAGACCAAAGAAGGGAATTTAATTCCTCAAGCTCCCTGCCAGAGAAGTAGGGTAGTTGTTTTTAAAACGCCCGGGGTTGTTTATACATTGCTTCTGAAGGCCAAGGTTTAGAAGCTACTCAAAGTCAGGGCAAGATCAGGGTAAAAAGCAACCCGACCCGAAGGGAGCTGCCCATCTCCAGTTGCCGCGTCTACACTGCCCCCTCCTCTAACAGAAAAGCTGCCGGATTGGACCTTCCCAGGTGTAGGAAGACAACCCAGCACCTTCCTTGCCCCGGGCTTAATTTTCTGGAAGGTTTCAGAAAAGCAACAGGATTTGCTACTTGCGGCTTCTGGCAGGAGCAGGTTACAAAAACTCCTTGGAACTTTGGCAAACTTAACTTCGCCTGCAGTGGACTTTGGACATTCGGATTCCTATAGCGCGGTTAAAAAAAAAAAAAAAAAAAAGAAGCGCGCTGCGGGGTGGGGGATGCGGGTTCCCCTGGAGCTTTCCCTTGTTGGTTTATTTTTAGTGACGGGAAGGTATTAAAGCATCTCTCTCTCTCTTTATTCCCTGATGCCTTCATTTGAGAGACACAAAACAGTCTGGGTGTTCATCCCGAGGACCCGGAGGAAGCCTACCAATGAAGACGGATTTGTCCGCTCCAAGGTTTTAACTTTTCCAAGTTCGTAGCAAAGGTAAGAAAGGCCCTTGGTAGATGTTATGCGATTATCCTGACTTTACAAAAAAACAAACAAACAAAAAAAAACCCAAAACCCTCTTTGGGTGCCTCTGGGACTGGCTAAGTGGGTCCCTCCCGAGGGTCGCCACGGCAACGCAGCATCCCCACATCCCAAACCCAGGGAGAAGGACCAGAGGCTGCCACAGGCTCCTCTCTCTAGAAGCCGCTTGGCCTCTGCCCTCTAGGCTCACTCTGGGCACCGGCCGGCCGGCCTTCTCCCGACCCTCCCACCACTCTCTCCGGGCTGGAGTACCTTGAAAGCGATGGGCAGAGTCTTGTTGCAGCGCCAGTGAGTGGGCAGCACGGAACAGAGGAAGTTGGGGCTGTCGGTGCGCACCAGCTCTCCCGGGTGGTCAGCTAGTACTTCCACCATGCTGCGGTCGCCGCTCCTCAGCTTGCTGGCCAGGGCGGCGCCGCCGTCCGGGGCGCCCAGCGGTAGCGCCTCGCTCATCTTGCCGGGGCTCAGCGCGGTGGAAGGCGGCGTGAAGCGGCGGCTCGTGCTGGCATCTACGGGGATACGCATCACAACAAGCCGATTGAGTAAGGGCCCTGAAAACGGCTCCCACCAGAAGGCAACACGGGCTCGGATCTTCTGCAAGCCGCTCCCGGGACACCAACATACAAGTTCAGGAGCCTTTATTACTACCGGAGGGTTGTGGGGAGGAGGGAGACTAAATCACCAACACTCCCCGACTGAGTCCTAGTTACTCGGATAGGCCTCACACCCGAGCAGGGCTAACAACTGGCCGATTAGTGCATTAAGAGTGGGCAGCCAGAATCCAAAGTCAAATGCCCCGAGGAGCCTGGCTTTCAGAGTTCAAGTTCAGTCTTTGGCTATTACAAACGGTCCCGGAGGCAAAATTCCCGTACACGTCCTAAAATATTTATGCGCAGAACAAAAAATGACCAGCAAAAACTAGATTTGGAAGTTCCAGCAGCTAATTGCCTGTCAGTTCGCTTTTCTTCCTCGCGGGTCAGTTTTGTTTACAGTCCCAACAAAATACAAAACTGAGGAGTGTCTTCCATACAGGGCGCCCCTCCTATCATGAAAAACTCGCTTCAGTTCTCAAAAGCAAGAGAGCCGCAACTTTAAAAGACTGTGCTAGTAATGTATTGCTCGTATATGTAAATATATACATACGATCTACTTCATAAAATATTTACAATACAATCTGTAGAGAATTTAAACACAACAGAAATCCATTAATGTTCGCTGAAGTTTTTCTTTTTTTTTTAAGTAGCCTTGAAAGTCAGTTTCAGTAGTTGAAAGGCTGGGGTAGAATCACTTGTCATTATTCTCTCAATAAATTCTGGACAAATGGTCAGTGCAGAAAATTTAGCTTTACAAAGACCTCTATCTAACCGGAAAAAAAAAAGCCAAACTCGATGATGCTCAGGCTAGAGCTTCCCACATCTGAGGACTCGGGTTTGGGGACGTCGGTTAAGTCTGTGGCTGATCCTGTGGTTTGGTAGGAGTTGAGCCGAAGTTGGGTCACACAGGCAGACGCGCACTCTCCGAAGCCAGCCACTGTCTACATTGGTTGAGTGAGTCAGCCCAGACTCTGGCAAGATGGTTTTCCTCTAACGTCGCCCGGCGCTGGCTGGCTGGCTGCTGGTTTGTTCTGCTGGGGCGCACAAATACCCACGAGCGGTCGGGCGGGCGGGCGAGCGAGCACCGTGTAACCGCAGCAGGTGGAGCGGGCCTGGGAGGAAGCGCCGCAGACCAGGAGGCTCGAGTTACCGGCGCCCGCGCTCACTCCCACGCACCCAGCCACGCACACGCAACTTCACGGCTCCCCTGGAACCCCGGAACACTTTCTCCCGCAGTTGCCACAAGAAACAGTCGGAGAAAAGTTCACGGCCAGGAGAGAAGTTGAAATCGTCCAAGCTTAGAAGCCAGTTCATTCAAAAGTGAGAAAGGAAAAAGAAAAGTATAAAAAAAAAAAGGAAAAAAAAGAAGAAAAGGAAAGGAAAACGAGGAGGTCCAACGCAGATCGAGGAGGAGCCAGGCGCAAAGGGTGACTTTCGTGCGTCCCCGGGAGCTCGGGATGAAGCGGCAGCCGCAGGCCGGGCAGCGTGGTGCCCTGGCTGGGTCCGGCCGCGGGGCGCCCGTCCTGCCCGCGCCCGCTGCTGGCTCTATGAATGAGAGTGCCTGGAAATGAACGTGCTTTTACTGTAAGCCCGGCCGGAGGAATTCCATTCCCTCAGCTCGTTTGCATAGGGGCGGCGGGCGGCCAATCACAGGCCTTTCCGGTATCAGCCTGGGCGCGGCCCGCCGCCGCGCTCCTGGAATTGGCCCGCGCGCCCCCGCGCGCTACTGTACAGCAGCCCTGGCCGGGACGCGGTGGCAGCCCTTGCCGCCCCTTGCCCCGGCACCCACGCCGACCCACGCACGCACACGCACACGCTGCCACGCTTGTCCGGAACCCGGCAGCCACGCGCGGGGTGACACGCTTGCTGCACTCGCTCTGGGTGGGCTTTGCGGGGCGCAGCGGCGTCACCGGCAGCCGAGGTCCCCCGGAGACCCTGAAACAGGAATCGAAAGGCCGCTCGGACTTGGGGACCGCGAGCTGTGCCCGGAGCAGCCCGAGGCCAGCGGGAGGGAGACGCCCTGCGAGCCCTGGACTCATAACTGCCATAGCGAGGCTCCAGGGACCAGGGCTGGCGTCCCGGAACGGTCCCCGGCAAGCCCTGCACTGCGTGCAGTCCGTGGGCCAAGCCTCCGCGTCCCGGGAGGACAGGGTGGCAGAGGCCCTGAGCGCCCGCCCCGGCCTGGCTGGCAGCTGAGGCGAAGCGGCACCAAGTCATTTAAATACGAGCGGTGGCTGCTCCTCTTCTTGGTGGAGCTGCTCTGTTTAGTGTCTTTCCTCCCAGGCTGGGCTGCGGCTTTGATTACGCAGCGCCCCGCGTTCTGAGTGTGCGCAGCGGCTACGGAGGAGTTCGTTTTCTAACCGAGGCCTCAAAGAACCCTTAGACTTGCAAAGAAAGTTGAAAGCATCCTGGGCGGGGGTGGGGGAGGGTGGGGGAGGGTGGGGCAGGCCACCCCGATCGCCCGAGCCCTCGTCCACCCTCCAGCTCCCAGGGAAGGCCGGAGCGTCCCTCCAGGCGCTGAACCCGCTGGGCTTGCGCACGGTGGGGGTTCTTCCCCCGGCACCGTGTCCGGTCCCCGTGGCGCCGAGGGCATTTTCGCGGAGCTTCAAGGGTCTCGATCCTGCCTGGCTCGCGGCCCACTGTTGTCCCCAGCTGGAGCAGCTGGCCTGTGTCTTCTGCGGGTCCCTCCGGGCCTTGCCTCCTCCGGGACATCTCACCACCCAGACCGCCCGCGGAGCCCGTTACTCTCCACATCTGACCGAAGCCCATTCGCTTCCACTCTGTGCTCGGGTCCCTGGCTGGTCCCTGCTTGTGTCCTCCCTCCTCACGCATCCGCGCGGCCTGTGTCAGTGGAGGAGGAAGAGGCCGTGGAGATCTGGGCTTTAGGGCCGCTTCTCTTGCCCCAGGCGGGTAGACTGGCGGCGTGGAGCGCTGGGCAGGCCTTTCGGGGACACGGCGGGGCGCAGGGAGGACGCCAGGGGGCAGCAGCGGCCCTTGTTCGGCGGCCTGGAAGCTGAACTGGGCACCGGGCACGCCCTGGCAGGCGCGCGGCGCAGGGATCTGTCCCACCTGGAGGCCCTTGGAGGGGGGTGGGCTTGTGACTTTGGGGACAAACGATAACAAGTGGGCATCAGAACACACCTAAGTGTCTCCATTGCTCAGAGGTGGTAGCCTGGCCAACCTGCGTGGGAATCACCACCCTCCCGGGGGTGGGGGTGGGGGGAGACTGTCGCGATCCCCCGAAACCCGCGTCTCTTCCCTCTGAAACTTCTTTGCCTGAGTTCCTCCTTATGCTAGTTCAGGACCGCGAGTTCTCCGGGTGTGCGAGCGCCGGCAAAAACCCAAGAGGCCTCCCATTCCTGCATTTCTGCATTTTCCCAAGTGGCCTTTTCCTTTCCGCACTAGGATCGTGCCAGCACGGAAAAGCTCAGTATTTCACATATGTTTGGGGGGGGGGGTCCGGAGCTTTGGGTAGACAAAAAAAATTCTCTGTGCTTTTCTTTTAAAATTATTTTCAAAGAAGTCCCATTGCAGGTGTCAAATCCCTAAACGTTCCCTAACACTCCACCTTGCCTGCTAACGTTGCAGTGACCATCCCCAGCCTCTGCTCTCCTGCCGGGGCCACCGCTTCTTAGCGGTGTCCAGGCTCGGAGGTGCCGGCTCTCCTGGAGAGTTTGTGACCTTTGGAAGCTAGATTTCCCTCAAATGCTACTTCTAAGCTACTTCAGATCTAGTGCTCCTGGGGCCACAGACAAGCGCATCCCCAGGGACACACAGAGACAGGGACGACAGTGGACCTTGACTCTAGGTAAGGAGTTTTGACTCTGAGTAATCTGCCCTTCGAAGGGTTAAAGGAAACTCCTCAGAGTCAGGTCTCCAGCTTAAAACCCCAAAACCTGCATGGGGTTTCGAGTTGTCTCCCAGGCAGAAGTCAAGGCTGGGGTAGTTAGAGCAACACACACACACACACACACACACACACACACACACACACACACACACACACACACACACACACACACACCTAGTTTAGTTTTCAAGGCCAGCACAGCCGAGTTAACTAAGTTCGAACCCCGACGACAATGACACAGCAACGAAAGCTTCCAAACCCGGCCTCTGGCATCCTTGGACCTGAGTGGGTTGTCACTGCGCCACCCGGGGCGCAGGTGAAAGCCACAAACAAACAAACCAGCGCCCTGTCCTTACTGAGGACCGGGAAACTGCCAGTGCGCAGCTGGGACTCAACCTCGAGGCATCTTGAATACTTAGTCCTCAGGGCTTTGGATGAAGTTCTGGAGCCCCGCGGCGGGAAAGGAAAAGGAGGAATTCCTTCCCAACCTAGGCGCTCATCCCAGCGACAAAGAACACTTTTCCTCAAAAGGAAAGGTTTACAACTTTCACTTCCAGGCTTCCCCTACAATGACACTAAAATTTACATGATAAAAAAAAACCTGCAGGGGAAAGATTTGTTTAAACTGCTACTGGGTGACAGTCTAACAAATTTGTTGCACGGGGGAAATTTATTAAGCGTCCATAACAGGATTGGAAGTTTCTACAGTGAATTTAAAAAGTAATATTTGGTTTTAATAGGAAGCAACCATTTCAATGGAGAACAGAGCGGTTTACTGACTCCCCCCCAGTCTTTGGGTGATTTGCTAACTGAAAGTAGTCGCAGAAAAGCAAAGGTTTTGGGTGTTTGTTCCATGAAATCATCTCCAAAATAAAATGCACTTAACAATTCTCTTAAATCAAAATTACCCCTCCATTGTATTACTCTATTGTCCGAATCAAATTCAAAATGCATAATAGTTCTAAAGGGATTGTTTCTCCCCCCTTCCTTCCTTCCTTCCTTCCTTCCTTCCTTCCTTCCTTCCTTCCTTCCTTCCTCTGTCTCTGTCTCTGTCTCTGTCTCTGTC